TCGCAATTTGGCGTAGCGCGTGCTGTTAGCAAACCGACGCGACGGCTACAAATTGATGCCCTCTGGGCCCAATGTCGGTAAATTAATAGAGCCAGCGTTAGGTTCAATCGATGATGCGCAATAAATTGATGAAATCGTTATTGCACAGTCCCGGTATTATTTAATCAGCGATGCACACTTCATTCAAGCACAATTTTCTGAATAACCATGTATAACTAGATGTTCGAATAACACGCGGGTGCCTAGGCCGGCCCATTGTTCATCCACGTCGATGATACACTGTAGGACACTTCATGCCACTGCGCTTCGTTAATGACACCGACATGGTGGACCCTTGGTGTATCGCCACGCGCTCCCGGAGAGAGACACTCACCGTCACCGATCGATCCGTGTATCTTACTTTTCTTGCAACTTCTCTCCTCGTCCCTTGACACGGGCCGAGTTTTTCCGAGCATTCGGACGAAATTCTTGGACCCCTACTAATCGTCAACGAGTACCAACGAGGAAGACAAGCTACATCGCGAAAGGACAGGGTCTAATAAAACGAAACGAATGACGGAAAGTATCTTTATCTTCTTTGGGAACGACGTGGGAAAAAATGGCCATCGTCGTCTCAGGACAACGTTCTTCTTTCGTCTCACTCTCGAGTGTTTCCTCTCCTCTTCATTTCTCTTCTTCAATGACGGAAACGTTCCACGTGATCGCGCGATTCCAAATTGCCAAAAGGAAGAAGGTATTTCTCTCTTACGTTGGGAAGCGGAGCAAAATATGTCTACGTGACACAGTGTTCAGAGAACGTCTCGGGTTTTCGTCTTCTCCTCCATTTTCTTCCCTCAATGAAAGAGTTTCATTGGTTGATCGCAGGTTCCATGCCCTTTGTTCTTACGTCGACATCGTGCACCTACGTGCCTCCACGTTACAGGTACGAGCTATTCTCTCTGGGGTCTTGCATATAGTCTAGCAAGCCTGTACTTGACAACTAATAGGCAATGGTCGGTGAAAACGGGGCAGCGAAAATCCCGGTACGTTTATTAAAGACTTCCTGGCCTCTCGACGCGCGCGGCAAGCGGGAAAATTTCATCTGAATATATACGGTTATCTGAATCGCCGTTTCACCTAAGTCCACGGTATTTTCCTTCCTTTAATTCCTGCTCTTTCGCTCTCTCGTGTTCCGTTCATCTT